GTGAGTGACCCTCTCGGCGCCGGCCAAGCCGGGCCCTGCCCACAGCATTACCCCGGTGCCGTGAGCTTCCCGAGCACCACGCCCTGCGGTGGCCTTATGTGGGGTACACGCGACCCGGGCCGAACCGGAGGCGTCTCCCACTCGCGAGCTCCCATCGGTGCGGATTCCCAGGACGACGTCCGGCAGGCGGGGAGGTCGGGCTCTAGGCAGCCGGCCCATGGGCGCGGCTTGGGCTTGGCCGAGCATTTCCCCTGCCTCCCTCTCTGCTCGGTTGCTTCTCTGGACCCAGCTCGCTGCCGGCGGCGGTTCAGGGCAGGCCTGGGACCGAGCGTCCACTCCATTCTACCAGGCTGTGGCTAGAAGAGGTGTGAGCCGTTCAGCTGCCACAGCACGAAGGTGCCAGGCTAGGCGTCTTCTGTCACGTCCCTACACCCAGGCACCTGCCAGAGCCGCTTGCTTCTTGGCAATGGGGGTTTCCGATCAGCTGCAACTCTTGCTATAGTGTATGGTTATTTAGACCCTTTTTCTGTTCTGCTCCTGCGGTCGCGGCTCTGACACTAGAGAAACTATGTTTCTATTGCCCGGTGTTTGTTTTTTTCTTTAGGGAGGGCAAAACATTTTAGAAGGAGGAATCAAAAGAGGGGAATAAAAAGAAAAAAGGACTAGCTTTCCACATCTTGATATGCCAAGAAGTCATACTATTTTTTTAAAGTTAAAAAGAACAACAACAAACCAAGGAGAAGACATTCACCTTGCACTATATTGTCCTTAAAAGAACAGGACCAGCAATGGAGTGAACAAGAATGAAAGTTGTTGGGAACTAACTTTGGAGGGTTTTGCAACAGATTTTAGCTGTTGGTCTCCAATGATTCATTTGTTATTGTTGGAAATAAAGGAGTACGCAGGCAAAGAGTGATTGATCATCTAGTAGACTTGTTGAAACCTATTGAGATGATAGTTGAATTCTAGATGACTTGTTAAGATACCTACAGTCTTGCAACTCCAGCCAGTTCCTTTTCTCTTCTCTGAACTCTTACACAAACACACTCACGTGCCCAGAGGCACCTAGTACTTCACTCAGGTTTAGAGCCACGCAGTAGCATGCTATCTAGAAAATACTCAGGTTACAGTACAGTGCAGAATGTAATTTTGGGAGTCGGTCAACAGCTCTATCCCTGGACACGATATGCTGACCTGTTTACTTAAACTGCAACTAAAGAAGTATTGTTCACCCAGATGTTGCGCACATTAATCTGCTACTCCACTGACGATGTCCAGTTTTGTGGGAGAGCAGACCAACGACTTCTCTCACTGTATTAAAAGGCAAAAAGGATGTATCGTATCGGTTCAGTTCCCCTTTGATTGCGTCATTCAATTGCAGTTATCCATCAGTTCATCTGAAAAACTTTTGGTTGCCCCCGCCCCACTAGTGATTGACCCCAACCCTTTGCGCACACTTGGTAAAGTGCTCTTCGAACACAGCCTTAGCTCCACCTGTGACTTCTTTACTTTTTGTACATTACCAGCTTCTATAGTATATATAATCGAAGCTTCATTTGTCTTACTTTTCCAGTAAATGATTATGTTCTGTTTATTTCACTCAAGAACTTCTTGGAGAATATTTTCCGTTTTGAGTTAGAATTTTCTCTAGCAAAATTTAGTCTCATTTGGGAGCCTAAACTCACTCTAGTTTTCCAGTTCTTCGGTCATAGGGCCTTAGGAAAGCAGAACTTTGGACAAACACTTTCAAATGTCTGAACTTACTGATCTTACATGCTAAAGGAAAGGTGTTCCCTTTGAAACAGCTAACTAAAGCACCGTTTCCATATTATTCATTAGAAGCTATCTGGATTGAGGAACTGGCTCAGTGGGTAAATTCCTTGCTTCACAAGCATGAGGACTTGGGTTTGGATCTCCAGTACTTAGATAAGAAGCCACACATTGCAGTCCATGTCTGTGACATCAGTACTGGGGGCAGAGCCTGGAGGCTTTCTGGCCAGTTGGTCTAGTCTGAACATGGAGCTTTAGGTTTAGTGAAAGACCCTGTCTCAAAAAGTAAAATAGAAGCAGGAAGATATCAGATGTTGACCTCTGACCTACACACACACACACACACACACACACCCCACACCACACTTGGGTGAATCCCTATATACCAGTGAAGTACAAAGCCCTGTGTTGTGTACTTTAGCAAATGCAAGGGTTTCCAAAATGCTCTGAAGGCGCTCATAGTCCTGATGACTGGAGTGTGGTAACTAAGTTGACTAATGGAAATCAAATTGTTTTAAATGATTTCCATCTATAGTCCATTATACTTTCTTCCTGAGAGACCTCAATGCATGCTTAACCTTAACTACTCAATCCACACACACATCTACATTATCATCTTGACTTTCCACCCACATCTAGTCTCAAATCTTTGTGTGGATGTCATCCATAACATCTAACGAGGCATCTTCTTTTTTCTGAGAAGACTTAGTCATGATTTCCCAGTTTGAGACTGTCTTTAACTCGTCGTTCTGTTAAACTTCGCCGAATCATCTTCATCTCTTTTTTCCCTCATACTTCTGTTTGTTATTAGTGTTGCTCACATCTTTTTGAATGAGGGCCCTCCTTCAGGACACATTGCTTTGTGTATTCACTATCACAGTGTCTTTAATTATTATATTTATTTATCGTGTCTGTGTCGGGGGGTGAGGTACATGTGTGCCACCGAGCGTATATGAAAGTTAGAGATAACTTGAAGGAGTGTGGTGCTCTCACCATGTGGGCTCAGGATCAATTTCAGGTTATCCGGCTTGGTAGTGTTATTCTGCCAGCCTTTGGATATTTTTTGAGAGAACTGTCTTGTAATATTGCTGGTCTTGAACTTGTAGGCTCCATCTGTCCTCCTGCCTCAGCCTCCTGGGTAGCTGAATTACAGATGCACCTGCTGCATCCTGCTTTAGTATTTTTTCTGTCTCAGTTCAAGCCCATTTCTGTGTGGATTTCATAAAGAATACTTTGGAGACCACTTCTTAGTTTGAATTCTTCAGAGGGCTCTGACTTTGGAAGGGGTGATGTTCATAGATAATTCTGAACTTCAACATTGTTTATCTTCCATAGGAACCATCCATTCCATAGAAGTGAATTTCTTAGGTTGAAGTTGGTCATTAATTCTTCCAAATTCCAGTAACATTGTGCACTCATTGTATGTAATTGAAGCTTTGTATATATTTTTGTTGTTGTTTGTTCTTTTCTTACTTATTTTGAGAGACAGTCTTATTGTAAAAGACTGGCCTTGAATTCAAGGTCCTTTTGTTGGAGCTGAAGAGATGGCTCAGCCATTAAGAGCACTTGTTGTCCTTGTAGAGGAAGGACACAGGTTTGATTCCCAGCACCCACATGGCAACTCAGCTCCAATTCCAAGGGGTCTGACACCCTCTTCTGACCTGTAGACACCAGGCATGCACATAGACACACATGCAATCAAAACACACACACATAAAAAACACCTTAAAACAATAGCATTGTTTTGCTTCAGCCTCCAAAAGTACTGTCCAGATTGTTTCATGTAATGTGTTTTGATCTTCTGACATTTGCTAAGTACAACATTAAGTTAGGGAAAGCAGTGGTGAGCTACACGTACCTGTCTGTGTATTTGGAGATTTTAGTTCAATAATAACACAGAATCATGGAAAGTTTTTCAAGAGACACTGAGTTGAGAGTTCAAGAATGAGTCAGAACTAACTAGGAAAAGACCACGGAAGAGCAAAACGGTCAATAGATCCCCTCAATTATTATTCTGCAGTAAGTTTTTAAAGAGTAAATTAGTTCAAAGATAAGTGCCTGACTTTTTTTTCTTAATCCTATTGTTAGGACATTTTTTTTTTATAAGTAAAAGGTACTTAATAAATGCTTGTTGAAGGAGGTGGATAGATTCAGCTCTCTTTGTACTGTACCATGGTCATTCCTGTTTAACCTTGGCCCTTCAACCTATTTCCCATGTTTTAAATTGTTTGTCTTTGTTTTTGTTTTCTTTTTTCTCCTTCCTTCCTTCCTTCCTTCCTTCCTTCCTTCCTTCCTTCCCTCCTTTTTCTTTGAGACAGGATTTATTTGTGTAGTCCTGGCTGTCCTGGATCAGGTGTCTTTGAACTCAGAGGTCAGCTCAGCCTGCCTCTGTCTCCTGAGTGCTGGGATTAAAGGTGTGGGCCACTACCTCGCAGCCATAAATTGTTTTGTATTTTTTGTATTTATTTTTATTTATTTATTTATTCATTCATTTATTATGTATACAATATTCTGTCTGTTTATATGCCTGTGGGCCAGAAGAGGGCACCAGACCCCATTAAAGATGGTTGTGAGCCACCATGTGGTTGCTGGGAATTGAACTCAGGACCTGTGGGAGAGCAGGCAATGCTCTTAACCTCTGAGCCATCTCTCCAGTCCTTATTTTTATTTTTGAAATAAGTATAGGCTCACTGGAAGTTGCTGAGAGGTCGTGTGTAAATCTAACTCTGGTTACCCATTGGTTATATTTTACATAATTACAGAAACAGGAAATTGGTATAGGTATGTGGATATTTTTGTAGCATTCTATTACTGCTGCTGTTAAGATACAATAGTATCCATCACCATGAAGATTTCCTTCATCTACATCTTTAAAGTCACACTCCTATCCTTAATTTCTGGTGGCAACTACTTAACTTTTTTCCATTAACAATTTTGTAAGTTTTCTGCATTGTTACATGAGCAGAAACATACATTTGTGGCCTATTGGGATTGACTTTTGTCACTCAGCATTATGCTTTTGAGAGTCATCCAAATTATTGCATATATCTGTAGTTCGTTTCCTCTTGCCAAATAGTATCCTGTGAGTGGATGTCCAAGTATTTATTTATAATCAGTCATCTATTGAAAATTTTTGTTTCTAGATTTTGGCTATTATGACCTATTGTGGACAGTCTCTGACAGGTTCTTTATGTAGATATGACTGAAAGAAATACCTAGAAGTGTAGTTA